ATGTCATCGGGGAGGGTGCCCCGGGGGTTTGTCAGTCGGGGGACAATAGTCTCCGTCGTAGTCTGAGTCAGGGCGTTTTTAATGTCAGTCTCAAGGGAGAGGATTGCCGCCTCCAGATCATGGGTGGTTTCGATGACTGGGAGCGCCATGTTTCCTTGCATTACTGTTCGGAAACGCTCCCAGTCAGTGAACCTCCTCGTGAAGGTGCCTTCATATCTCTGTCTTCGCCCCAGATCCAGAAATATTGGATTGTGGGCGGAAGACCCTTCGTATTGGGTGGATATTTGGGCATTTAACGGTATAGATTTTAAGAGGGCAATGTCGATAACGTCGGGGCGTCCTACGGGTCCGTAATGTGTCGGTTCTGTCGGTCCGAGTATAGTCAAGTCGTCGTGTCTGTCTTGGTAATTCAGCAGGACGCGACCTCTTGTGGTCGTCGTCCCGCTGTGCCATATGGGGGACTTCGCGTTGAAGTCCCCGATGGCAATTGTCTGGGGCCAGGAAAGGATTTTGTCTAAGTCATTGTCAAGTAGTGGTAGTCTGGGTGGGTGGTAACAGGACACCACCGCAACGTCTCCATGCCGTAGCGATCTCACCGCTATCGCCACGGCCTCTGTGTTTTGAGTTTGGAGCCGCTGCAGCGGATAGTGGTCGATGCACTTCTTTACTATGAGTGCAACACCACCCCCGTTACGGTTTCTGTCATGTCTGTATATGTCATAGTCAGGGATGGAGGTACGGGATGCCTCGCTGAGGTAGGTCTCCTGGACAGCCATAACGTCTATGTTTAGACGGTTCAAGATGTCCACGAGTTCCGTTTTTTTGGCCCGGAACCCGTCAAGGTTCCAGGACGAAATTCTCAGCGAGGAGGGTTGGGAGGGCCGACGAGCCATTAGAAGTCGAATAATTTTTGCATATTCGACACCATGGTCGTCAGCTGGACGCAGAAGTCCTGAAGACGCTTTGTTGCGTCAATCAGGGCCGCCGCGCCCGGTTGGGAGGGTGTCGTGTCTGTGTGTGCGTGTGGTGAGGTGTTGTGTTTTTGTTTTTGTGTGTTTTGTGTTTTTCTGGTCATGTCAGCGTATGTGCGTCCTGGGGTTGTGTTTGGGGTGGGTAGGAGGGGCTGTCTGTGTGTTTGTGTAGTGTTTTGTGTCGTGTGTGTGTCTGTGTTTTGTGTTTTTGTGTTTTTAGCTTTGGGGTACTGAGGGCACCCCATATAGCTGGCGGGGTGTGGCCCGGCGCAATTTGCACACCTGGCGGGCGTGTCTTTGGCCTTTTTGCATACGTGCGTGCTGTGGTTTTCGCCACATTTTACGCACTTTGGCTCAGCTGTGCACCGGGTCTGGCCGTGGCCGAACCGCTGGCACCGGTGGCACTGTGTGGCAACCCGCTGCTTTCGCTGCAGCTCTACTCGAACCACGAGCGAGCAGCAGCGGGTTACCTTCAGGATGTCCTCCTGGTCCTGTGGGGCCTGAACTAGGACCAGGGGCATTTCCTGTTTATTTTGACGGCTCGCCATGCGGTGCACTATTGCGCCGGGGAACCCTTGTCTTGCGAGGTCGAGTTGGACCTCACTTGGCGAAACACCCGCAGGTATTCCGCGTATCACCACCCTCAGCGTTTTTTCTTCGCTGAGGGTGAAGGTGTGGTACTCCTCGCCTTTGTCTGTCAGTGTCTTTGTCAATAGTCTGTGGTCATTAGGTGTGTTTGGGTATATGGCTATACCGTCTTTAGTCAATTTGGCTTTTGTGTAGTTAATGTTAAGTGTCGTGAGTATTTTTTGTACTTGCGTCCACCGTTCTTGCTTTCGCAAGATTACCGGGGGGACTTGTTTGGTTTTGTCTGTCTGTTTTTGTGTGTTTTGTGGGGTATTTTGTAGGGCGCTTGTGGAGGGTGTAGGTGTCGGGGGGCGCGTGTTTGGTGTTTGTGGTCGTGTTTTGTTTGTTTTGTCTGATTTTTTAAGTCTGGGGGCTTCGTCCTCGCTAGAGGATTCCGCTGTGTGTTTTTTGCGTTTCTCTGTGCGTGTGTGTGTGGGGTGTGTGTGTGGGGGGTGTGTGTGTGTGCCTGTCTGGGGTATATTGTCTGTCATTTGTTTGTCGATAAGTTTGTCGAGTTTTTGGTGTAATTTAGTGGTGTTTTCGTCCGAAAGTTTAATTGTTTTTTGCAAATCGACGATTTGCTGTGTCATGGTTAGTATTTGTTGGTATTGTCGGGTGTTTTGTTCTGTCAGTTCGTGTATTTGTTGTTTTAGCGTCTCGTTTTCATGTTTTTGTGTTTGTAACTGTTCGTATAAATCTGTTTTATTGGTCATATTATTTGGTGAAGCGGAGACTCTTGAAGAGGGTCTTTCGCTGTCTGTATCGTCCATGTATATGTATATGTTCTCCTCGTTTTCGGAGTCCGACATTGTGTGCGTGTGTGTGTGTGTGTGTGTGTGTATGTGTGTGTGTGTGGGAAGGTGTGTAAGTGTTAGTCGTGTGGGGATGCCCCCTCACGGGGGCGTACGTGTCTTTTGGTGTATTTGTCTGTCTGGTATATTGTTTGTCGGGGGTCGCAATTTTAAAAAAATGTATTTTAAAGTAATGAAAATAACTGATAAATAAGTAAAAACTTACCTGGGCATAACCCCGGCACAGGTATCTGTAACAAAGATGCCGACGGCGTCTATGCTTAAGCCGGGGATTAGGTCGGTGATTAAAAGGAAAGAAAGGGATTCTCTCCAGGTAGCCTTAATAAAGGCAGGTAGATCTTGCTCGTTGCAATGCACTTCACCTCACAAACAAACACGTCCGCTCCGCTCGGCTGTTCGCTCTGAACTGGCTATTTTGACCGTGATTTGCAATATGTACCTTTTATTTAAAATGTTATATATAATTTTGATGAATTTACCTTTAAGATAATTAATAGTTTTAGTGAATTATGGTATGGTTTACACCAGGGGTGCCCGATACTACTATCGGCCATTTACCGGAAAAAAATTGAGCGGCAAGCGATCGTTACCAAAAAGTAAGGGGGGAGGGGATAGAACTCGGCTGTAACATAATAGATGATATGATATACGCTGTCGTTATTTGGTTACTGGCCAATTAAAATCTGAATTCTATCTACTAGGTACAAAAATCTACAATGTAACTAAAAATTTTTATTGAACATGCATACAAATTATACATAGGTAGTAATGATAATTATATGTCGCTAAGAAGTATCGACATCTTTGGATGGATGGATATTTATCTTCAGATATAAAACACCAAAATTTTGAATCACTTGCTCTTGCTTTGAGATGTATATCTGAAATCATCTGTAATACATCATTTTCCACAAAAGACAAGTCTTGCTTGAAGATGTTTGATATTTCAGTAGCACATTTTTCAACGTCTTCACAAGAAAACAGATAGCTCTTGAAAGTTACAATATTCGTCAATTTGTTAAAATGAGTTTGAAAGACGTTTGTCTTTCAAACTTTCAGAATATTTCTTATTTCTGTCTCGTAAATACCATATTTTAATTGACGACTGGCTTTTGCTTTCAAAGCCGGAACATTTTTCAAATCTTTCCTATTTAGTTGATTAATCAGTAGTAGCAATTTACTTATATTAATATAATTATATTTTATTTTATATTTTAATCCAATTTGAAGGTAATTTATTTAGGGAATGTGGATATGTCTCCGCGATCGACTTCTAATGCTATCGCGATCGATCGGTCGATTGCGATCCACTGTTTGAGCACCCCTGGTTTATACGAATAGTGAAATGGTATATGTATATGTTAAAATAGTATTTTCTGTTCAATTTTAAAGAAAAGTTGTACAAACTTGGCTTTGATGTACAAATTTTAAGGTTGATTTTAATTCCTAATTCTTTAGTAAAAAACTTTTAATGATTGGTACTACATAGTAAATTGTACCATTATTTAAAAATATATGTATGCGAATGAGGTTCTCTATGTACATGTATGCCAGAAAAAAAACTTACTAACTACTTAAAAAAACTAGAAGTACTTATGTATGGCATTAAGAAAATGTTTACGAAGTTGTTTTAGTTTCATTATTGTGAAAAAATACACGCAGGATGGGCATGCGGTACTGCAAGGATGCTGGATGGGTTTATGTATAGTTCCATTAAAATTTATGTATTTTAGAACCGCATCATTGCCGCATGTGTACAGCTGTCCTGCAGACGTTCGTCCTCAATTGTCTTTTATAACTTAAAATAATCCATATCTTTTCATTAATTTTGAACACACTTTATCTCGAAATTGTAAGGTTTTCGGAAACATGATTATAGGGATCTTTTTCGATAATTTGTAACTAATAGACTGTTATTAAAGTTGGACCTAACATTTTCCGTTTGCCTATGTTTATGAAACCAGATAAAAAAGTTTTTTTGACGAATTCCATTTAAAAAAGTGTAACTTTGTGGTATGTCTTGAAAACCTGTTGGTCTTAGAAGTGGTATAATAAGTTAATTAAATTTACCGTAGAATTACTTATGTGTTCACTGCAATTAGATTTTTTAGAACCATCCCTCTCCTCTTTGAGGAACTGGGTGAAGTTTATAAAGTTAAGAATTTTAATTTGAAAATAATTTTACAATAAATTAATGTTTGAATAGTTGAATAATACTTCTTTGTGCATTAACTTGAAATAAGATAAATCATCTTTATATTAAAGTTGAAAAATAATTTTCTTCATAAAAAATTCATTCGGTGATAATTTATGTATGAAATTTAATTGAAATTGATATGAAGGCGTTTGGAGGGTGTAAAATAATATCAGATCCTGGAAAAAAAGTTGCTAATACAAGTTTCCAAATATTGGGGATTAGGATTTGCGAATTTGAGGAAATTATAAGTAGTTACCAAATATGCGCGTTCTTAGAATGCAATTCAAAAATATATTTGAACTTCATTTTTTTTGTTATGTTAATGACGTACATTTACATAGTTATTATTAACATTTATTTCTGTGATAATCCACGTCAATTTTTTTATTTCAGATTCTAACGAAATTCGAAAATACGATAAGACTGAAGAAATTGTGCCAAGAAGAACAAAAGTTTCCAGTATTTCAGTAAACATTCCTGCTGCTGGTTTAGGTAGTCGCCCTCCTTCCGTTGTTAGTACCACAGTATCAGATGAGGGAGGATTTAATGAACCTTCCCCGAAAATAGAAGCAAAATTAAAACCTCATGAAGAATCTATTTATGATTTTCCTGTTAATGAAAATAAAGCTTTAGAATACACAAATTCTCCTGAAGACATAAATCAGTACAAAGAAAATTCATTTTTTTCTGAATCAAATTTAACTAAGTTAACTCCAGAACAAATAGAGGCACTTTATGCAGTCCCTAATAAATCTAGTCAACCTAGTGATAAAACATCTCTTCCATCAACTGATTCTGATGTAATTCAATATGCAGTACCTCATAAACAGCAAAATATCAAGCAACATTCTGTTTCTTCTAACGAAGACGAATTTTCTCAATATGCTGTTCCCTGTAAATCACTTTGCCAACAAAAATCTGTCACTTCAACAGACTCCGACATATCTCAAGTCACTGTTATACCTCAAAAGTCTATCGATTCAGATATTATGTATCACAACCACACTAATGTAATTACAAATTCAGTGCTTGCCGAATTAGAAAGTCAAGATAGTTATGAAAAAAACTGTCAGAATTGTTTAAAAAAAGACGATAAGATAAGTCACGAGAATTCCGATGTTCATGAAGCAAGAAAATCAGAACCTTTCATTATGACTCGTGAAGTTTTACAGTCCTCAGACGGGAGTGCTCGATCGACGGACTTCCAAAAATCTGAGGCCAATATTTTAGATTTAAATGATGTTGAATATGTGGATGCTAGTGACAATGATCAGGATAGTGTATGCATTAAAAAAGTACCTGAAGCTGATGCAATGACTCCAGATGAAGCTGAAAATCTATTAAGCAGCAAGTAAGTGCCTTAATATTTTATTGCTTAGTTAAAAATGAAAACCTTGAATGAAATTATTCTGAATCACATAAATTTTAAAAGAACTAGGAGTGTGAATTAATTTTGATGGATTTTTTTTGGTAAATTTGATACTTTATTGTGAAAAATTGTATGCATTATTATTTTTCAAAATATCTATCGGTAGCCGCTACTTTTTTTCCATCTTTCTGGCAGCATATAGATTCTGCGTTGAATAAACAACTCATCTTTCGGTGCTACCCAGCAATCAATCCAATTTTTTGTATGTTCATATGATTGGAAGTGTTGCTTAGCCAGGCCATGTTCCGTGAATCGGAACAATTAGTAATCGGATGAAGCAATATCAGATGAACTTGGCGGATGGGATAAAATATCCCATTTCACCGTAAGTTTCCAACAGCATTCGATGACTTTTAGCAGTACTTTTCTTTTAATTAAATGGGAAAAGTAAAATTTTCCACAAATAGTAATTATTTGTGGAAAATAAATATGTTGTTAACACTTCAGCAAAATGACCCAATAAAAAGTCAAGACCAATGACAGAGCTTTGATATGAATATAGTTACAGAAGTGCTGATGCGATATAGCATAAGTGACGCTATCTATGGTAAACCCCTCAAAATTAATTCACAGTCAGCAAATAGGAAAAGCACATAAACAGAATATCTGTGCTGTCGGTGTTTAGGAAACAAAATGTATTTTTTTCCTTTTGTGATGATATCCGGATTATATCACAGATTTAAAAAATGTTAACATTTAAAATGATTCACTTGCGAACAATTTTTTGAATGAAATATTAATAGACTCCTTTCACCCACGGAGTTTTATACACCATATTCTTGTAACTACAAAAATGTTTTTCAGTTTCAACCAATTTCCCCAAAAGAATACCTTTTTCTATTTTTTCAATAGCTTTATGCACCATCTTGTGTGAGAGGTGCATGTGTATAATGAATGTGTGTGTTAGATCTTACAAGATAAAAGTTAATTTAAATTTAATATGGTGTTGTTTAAAAGTTATGTATTAGAAACGGATTACAATCACAATTTTGAAGTTTTAATTTTATATAGCAAACAAACTTGTCGAGGCTTATCACCTTAAAATATTTGTATTGCATTTTAAGCCATCTGGTACTGTGTTCTGATAAGGTTGGCAATATGCTTTATAACAGAATCACACCTACCAAAATCTAATCTTCTGAATGTGGCAATGGAAAACAACATTTTTTCATATAACTTTAAAATACTGCTCCCCTGTAAACTTTCTTATTGTGACAAAATATACAAGGCGTTCAAATCATTTGAAAATGTCAAACTTACCTTGATAAAGAATCAACGAAGTAGTTTTAAAACTGAGAATCTTATATACAGAGTTAAAAACAAAACATCACTTTTCAGTGAAGAATATTGGGTGATTCACAGCAATGGGATGTTTGCCACTTTTTCAGCTATTACCATAAAATAAAATAACTGATTAAAGACTAGACCTGTATTTTTTATTTTACTTTAACTGGCTATTAAAAAAAAAAATGTAAAAAGAAACGATTTTGGAAGTTGCATCGTGTTAGACTATGCACCGGCCATTAATAGGAAGCTCAACTAAAATCGCATACCGTTGTTCTTCTTATAAAATTGTGATTTTGGTACTTTTAGGTTAGCATATCTCGAAAACCAGAGCCAATTGAGAAATTTGGACCTCGGATTCAAATTCAGCGCACCAAAATCCTTTGTTAAAGTCTATGTTGTTGGCCTGTGTTTTAAGCTTAGTGTTGAATTAAAAAAATGTATATTTTTGCAATAATACATAGTCGTTTTTTGTTTTTTTTTTTTTATTCAAGTGATGAGACTATTAAATTACACTTTTTGATAAAATTATTTCTGTGGAGATTTTTAGCCTGATTCGTACTGTAATTTTTATGTTAACGAGAATAATTTGAGCTTTATGTAGGATTCTGAATTGTTAAATATTTTCTAACAGAAATGACTTATTTGTTTATTATGCTTGTTGTGCCATTTTTGAGATATAAGGCTCCAAAAGTAACAATAACACGCAGTCACAGCAGAGTGAGCAACTCGATTATAGGGATATTTGTGTTATGTAACTTATATACTAAATAAAATTGTGACATCAAGACTAATATGGGTATCAGCAAAATTATCTTTTTTGAAGTTATATTTTTTTAACTTTTAGATTCTCATCACATGAACATGAAGTAATAAAATGCCCTAAAAATATTAAAATTTAGAGAATATGGAGACCCTGAATTTTTCTGTTCTGATAAGTTCTATTAAATACATTTTTTTATAAAAATTTAAAAAACCGAGGATGACATTTTCAAATTTTTTGATTTTTAAAAATTTTTTGTCACAAGTTTGAAGTTCATGGTAGGTATCTCAAAATAAGTAAAGCTTTGTCAAGAATTATATTTTCTCGAAAAATCAATAGTAACAAAGTTTACAAGAAGGCGATACCTCATCTAGAGGCATACCATATTAAATACAGAATGTTTTGTTTTAGAGCCATAGGATGTCAAAAATACTTTTTTTAAATCAATGTATTGCACTGAAATTTGGTACAGGTAAGTTTCTGAGAGAGATAAACTGGTTTAGGTCAAGTACTTAGGTATAATTTTGCTTCCTTAAAATGTTACTTAAAAATGGAGAATTTTTTTAATGATCCGTTATTTTTTGAGGAAGCAAAATTGTATCAAAATAACTTGATTCAAATCAGTTTATTTTCATCCAAGAAAGTTACTCTTGATTTGTTTCTGAACATTTTATATTAAGGAATAGGACCTAACTGATCTTTCTCGAAAAATTTTTTATGTGATGTTCATTCTTCATGGGTGTTGATATCTGAAAAAAAATGCTGACTTTAAAATAATATGTTGCAAAATTATACAAAAGCAATCTGTCTTTACAAAATTACCTTTCATTGCAAATTCGCTGTCTGCCACTAGTTTCATACATTTGGCTGAAAACAATACTTATATTATAGATCGTAGGTAATAACTGGCAACAGTGATAAGCCTGTGGTGTGGACGTCTAACAATGTATATTCGATAGCTACCCAGAGGCGGCACAGACAAGAGTTTATGTACACTTTAGGAAACGAATTGTGATTCCTAAGTTGATGCCTATTTTTATAGCACTTAAAATTCATAAATTAACATTTTTTGAAATACCATCTTCCAAATAACTTGCAAATAAAAATCGTACCATATTGATTTTGAAAATAACAATTTATACCGGTTATGCCTTGAATTTAAAGATAAGTTCAAAATGGATGCCAGTCATATCACAAAGTTGGGCATGACATACCTAAGAGTTTGTCATGCACATGATAGGGATAAAGGTTTTTCCCTAGTTGTATTAGCTTCGTCACTTCTCTTAATTGGTGTTTTAAATACTAAATTTTTCATCTAACTCCATAAAAAGGAATTACAAGAATTAAAACGCTCATACCACCCCTAAACATTGGCTTCCAAATTTGTAACTGTTCATAAATTAATAACATACATAAAATAAAAAAAAGTGATATCCATTAGGTTCTTTGCAAGTCCCGGTTTAAATTTTTTTACAACTATGGAAGTCTATAGCTGCCTTATTTTGAAGTTTTTATATGAAAAAAAAAAAAAAAAAATAGTTTTGAGTAGTTCTACACGCTGTCAAAAAATATGACAACTTTGGAATCACACCTTATATTTATGTAGTATAATAGTATAAGTAATGTATTATAAGTAATATAGTATAGTATCTCTATTTTTTTCATATTGGAACCTGCTCCCTGCACCAAATAGAATTCTGGAGAAAAAAAATAGGTAAGAAATCAATTTTTGCGTGTGTATTTTAACATTTTTAGAAAATAAGTTGTTTTAAATAATTCTTTAGATTTGTTTTATTAGGCCAATCAATAGTGGTTTTGTTTATGACAAAAATACTAGTAGCAAAAGGACTGTGCCATCATATAAAAGACAGTCTGAATAAATATAGGTATGCTTATATGTTTCCTACTCCAATTTACCATTAATTAATTTTAATTACATTTTTATGCAAAAAAACGCTTTATTTTGGGTTTATAGAAAATCAGAATACAAATAAAATAAGATGTCGATCAATCCGATCGGATAATTAGCAATGAAAAAAACCAGGTAAAATCGGAAAATTTAACGGTTTTTAAAGAATTTATTACTCCGCCATTTTTTAAGTTGTAGAGCTCGGCACAAAAGTAGTGAATTATATGTACTTTAAGTTTGCACAAAGCAGGCACTGTCAGACAATTAGTTTTGGCACAATTATTGTAATTTGAATTTTTTGGCGCACCATTTTGCAAAGAGTCTGGATGCGTTGTAGGTGATCCAATTTTAATTTTTCGGCCGGATTTTGAAAGTAGAAGTATAATACTACAAAACATATATTCTGATATTCGGATAAAATGCAAAATACGTGAAAAACCCTTTCAAACATTCTTAAAAAACGGTCGAGCGCGCGTATGCGGTCGAGTACTGGTGGAAGATCGGGAGATGAGTGGCAGTGGATATATAGGTATACAATTTTGAATATTGTTATAGTATATGTAGTTTAATATTATTGTAAGTGGTGATACATAATAAATAATATACCAGTTTCATGTTGTTTAAAATGACTGCAGAAGCATCTACATCTGCCAATAGCTAATTATTATTGCAGTCTTTCGTTTGAATATACATATAAAAAAACAACTGTATTGTAAATTCGTTCATAAACAACTTGTAAAATGTAATAAAATTTCCTTAACAGTATACAGGGACACCTAAATATGTGTTCTTTGGAACAGAAAAGTACATTTTGCAAGAAAACTTTCAAATTCATGTTTGATGTCAAAATTTCGCGTAAATGTCAAAAAATGCAGGAACAAAATAAGGAATGTCCACAGATTTCACATCATTGTGGTTCCCCGTATTGGAATGCCATTTCAACTGCGTGTTTGGAACATGGGATTCTGCTTAAATTTAAATTATTCACATTTAATTTTGTTACTCTTTTATTTATTTTAGATTACTTTAATATGTGTTGTAATGATTCACTGCTGAAATAGTTGAGTAAGAAAAAAGAGTGGAAACATACTGTATGTCTTTACATACCTGTGTTAACTTTTCTAAATGCATTCATTTTTACTGTACATAGTGATGGCAGTATAGTTTAGCTAAACTAGGCTAATGTCAAAGGTCTTGACACTGAGATTCACAAATTAAATACATACTGCTTAAAAAAATAGTAACATAAGGCTATTATTATTCGTGACTGAATATTGCTGAATATCTGACTTGTAGTTACTATTTCTATCTCTTTTGATCTTAATTGTCATATGGTAGTTTAAATCTCTTCTTTCACTCATACTACACATACTACAACATACGACTTCACTCGCGAAAAAAGGCCTATAATTGTTTCCAAAATTTGAAAATTCTCAAAGCAAGAGATGCTTCTTGAATGAGCTTTACTCACATTAACTTAGCTAAAACAATTTAAATATAATTTGAAAGGTATTTTTATAATGCAATTCATTTAACAATAAATTGTTTAATTATTTATTTGTCACATAAAAAATATTGTTTCATACATATTTACAATTTATTTGTAACGGAATGGTAAAATTATAAAAACATCAAGAAATCATTATTGTTTAAAATTAAAATGATAGGAGAAAACTCTTAACAGGCATATCTTATATCATATTTAGATTTAATTTTTTTTATGTTAAATATTACTTTATGTGTGTATTTTACAGACGAAAAAATAAAAATTATATTTGGATGAATAAATTTCTTCATTTTTGACATTTTGAACATTAAAAAAGAAAATTATGCATTTAAGAGTATTAATTTCCTCTAATACTAATTTTAAATGTTAATAGATCCGATATATTATCAGATGAAGAAGCACAAGAAGTTACCAGACTGCTACACCCGACAGATACTAAACCTGATAAATGGCAGCCAAATGCATCTAGTTCACTTCTACAAGATTCTATTACTGCGTCTATGCATGATTCTTCAGGGCCAATATCTTTGAATGACAGTCTGGGTCCCCCTTCCCTTCAAGAAGAATCAGTAAATGAACCTATAATTGAACTCAATGAACCTTTGTCTCAAAGTTTTATAGAAAATCAGGATAATGCCATAAAGGATATTGAACCTCTTTCTCAGTATTATGAGTCCACTTCAAGTTTAGATATATCTACCCGAGATGAAGAAGATGGCTCTAAGGTTGAATGCAGCGTATCAGCAACTGATTCAGGCTTGATAGGTTTGTATTTAAATTGTTAGTTTATGTCGCATGCATTCAAATATAGTGCATGTTATTAGGTTTTATGCATGTATGGGCTTAGAAAAATTGGTGCATTGGCCACTGATTAATTATTTTACTAGTGCAAATGCATAATGTTTATACCATTCCACAACAAAATTATTTCATTTTTATTTACAGATTCAACAAGTATATCAGAAGGAAATAATCCGGAACTTAACCAAGATAATGGATTTACTCCAAAGCCAATACAAGTAGTAGGCATTGAACATGGTGTACATTATTATGAAGATGGGCACTTCTGGATGGAAGTTCCAGGTTTACCTCCAGAGGAAGATGATGATGATCTTGAATTTCCCACATACATTCCAAAACCACCAAGTAAAGTGTGTTTTTCAGTGGAACCCATGAAAGTTTATTCTACATTTAGTATAAAAGAATATGATAGAAGGAATGAAGACGTGGATCCTGTTGCGGCTTCTGCGGAATATGAGTTAGAAAAACGAGTGGAGAAAATGGATGTATTTCCAGTTGAACTAGTAAAAGGTCCAGAAGGTCTTGGTTTAAGTATTATTGGAATGGGGGTGGGCGCAGATGCAGGACTGGAAAAATTAGGTTTGTACCAAAAATTTACAGTAGCAGCATAATGATCATAATGATCATAATGATAATAATGATAATAATGATAATAATTTTTTTTTCGTTAGACAATTACAATAACTGTATAGGAATATCAGTTCTAAATACAACATAGGTATTAAATTAAAATTACATTAAAAGTAACCCTAACAATAACAATAAAAATTGGAAACACTCCTGTCACCAGTTTAGTCTTGAACATAGAATTAATTTATGCCATAAAAGCGTCTGTCGACAAGGTACTTTTTTAGTTTACATTTAAAATAATTTATATATTTTATCTCCCTTAAATAGTTTGGAGAAATTCACGAAAATTTTATTTTTCCCTATTTTTATTAAAAATGTGTAATAAATATCTTAACAATACGTGTACCACAAGAAATTTGCATTAAAAAAAAAATATTGCGGTCATAAATTGAGGACATAGTAGAGACCCGGCTGGGACTGCGTGACGTCAACACTTTCTTCGCCCGCCCGTGTCTATGCGACAGGCACTAAAAATTTTGTTTTCCAAGAGACCACGCTTGTCGCTTAGTACGGCTACTGATCTCGGGTGTGGACGAGAATGTGCGTTAGTTAATTTAAACAGTGAGTTTTTCACTTGAAAAAGACTTTACAATAGCCGATTCGACCAATTTGCCGGCAATAGACATTATAATGGTTATGGAGTATTTTAACTGTAACAAAGACTTTATTAGTGCAGAAATGAGAGGAATTAAGCTGCAGAGGTAAGTAATACACTTAGTACTACACTTACTCTGTAATATACAAGTGTCATAAAATTTGTAATCAGATAAGTATAGATTGTTTTTTTATTTTTAAGATCTGGGCGAAAGGAATACGGAGACAATGCCGT